ATTGGATGATTTAGAGGTAAGTGGTAAGCAATGGGAGGCAGATTGTCCATAGGACAAGGTTTAAAGGTGGTGTGGGTACAGTTCTTTAATTTTAAATCTTGAAAATATGTTAAATTCAAGTAATGTGTCCACAGGTTACAGTTAATAATATGAGCAAAAATGATATGTAACTATCCCTGATAAAGATTAAAAAGAAATTTAGGGCCCACATATGGGCCCCTATGTTGGGTGTGTCAGGGCCCCTAATGGTCTTAAATCTGGCCATGGGAGCCAGTACATTTTAAGTTTCTGCTGGTTCTGTTTAATTAAAATTTGAAGTTGACTTACCAAATACATTCTTTTAATAATGATTTTTATCAACTTCTTACTGAGTTCCATTAAAGGAAAGATTATTAGTCCATAGCTCTATTTATAAACACTTTTGCTAAACATCACATTGCTTCTATTTTTATTTCTGTGCTGTCTTTCTTTCACCCTGCTACTTGATATTGTGTATGCCTATCATTGAAATGTAACTGAATGAAATTATAATTCATTAACATTAGGATATTACAAAATCAGGAGCCAAAACCTATAAGGACATACTCTGGCATATTAATACAGAAAAACACACACCTCTTGGTAAGTTTACATAGGTTTATAGAATGATCAGTTAATAATTGTCTTTGGAAAAAGAAAAAAATATAATGTCATCATCAAAATTCCATTTATGCCTTATTTAAGGTAAAACCACAAGCGTTTTATTTTAATGATATTTAAAAAAAGTGTTCTTATTATTTTAAAATAGAATTACTATATCTTTCATTTAATTTCAAACCCAAAGCTCCAAAAAATATTTAAATTTAAACTTTTAAATATGTAAGGACCTAGATATACACGATTTACTTAAATTAGAAAAGAAAAAAAATTGTATATATCCACAATCAAAAATAAATGGGATTTGCAAGGAATTTAAATGTCATTCACATGACACACTTCTTGCTTAAATAGGTAGTTTTTTAAAATTCTCCAAATAAGGAGGTCTTTTAAAAATGTTAAATAAATAGTTTTACAATCTAAAAAATTTTGTTTTTTAATATGTTAAATAAGTAATTAAAAAAAAATTAATGCTGAATCTCTAAAATCAGATAATTTATCTGACAATTTTGTTTAGCTAGTACATTTGAAGTAACAAAAGAGCAGGTTGACAAAGATCTTGAAACACAAGTATTTGGTCCTCACACTGGGATATTTACAAAAAAGGTAAGAATAGGCCTATACATTTTTGTGAATTTCTTCAGCTACTCCAGTACATTGTATAAAAATATTATTGATATGATGGTAGTGAAGATTATCAACTTAAACAAAAGGTGTTTATTAAGTATTTTTAATTTACTGACAGCATTCATCATTTAAAGTAGATTATTTTATTAGTTTACTTAAAGTGATTTGAATTTTTCCACAATTTTTTACGCCCTCCCTCCCCTTTGTCAACAACTGTCAAACTTTCGATGACCCCCCATTTAATTATGTAAACATTTTATTGGAGGGGGCCCTCCAAAAAAATTAATTATATTATAAATAAATTTATCATTCGTTTTACTTGTGCTTATGTATTTTAATAACACAAAATTGTAGGAAAAACATTTCATTACATCTTTAGCTTGTTAATCAACAAGTTAAAAAGTTTTTACACTTAAATTTTATAATGCAGAATCTATTAAAGTTTGTTAAAGACTAAATAAAATTGTTGGTGGTAGTATAAATATGATTATTGTCGGTATAGCTGACAATTATAGTGTAGTTTCTAGCTGCTTGTATCTTCCCATGGAGTAGCTCTATCATAACAATGGACATCAGGGACATCATTTGGGTAAGGAAGGTGGGCATAATATCCCCCCCCCCCCGATTTTACTGGTTTTACTTAAATTGCTATTTACTGTGGCGCCTCCAGTAATAAACAAACAACTTAACAAGCCGACCAAGTTTTGGTTTTGCCCCCCCCCCCCATTTCCCCTGAAAAAACCCTGAAATGACGCTCCTGATGGGAATAATCTATAGTAGTTGATTTATCATTTTCATCTATTTTACTGGTTTTACTTAAATTGCTATTTACTGTGGCGCCTCCAGTAAAAAACAAACAACTTAACCAACCGACCAAGTTTTGGTTTTGCCCCCCCCCCCATTTCCCCTGAAAAAACCCTGAAATGACGCTCCTGATGGGAATAATCTATAGTAGTTGATTTATCATTTTCATCTTGTGGAACTGATATACCTTACAAGTCAACATCATCCTTATCTAACTATTCATCATTTAAAATCGAAGCATCGTCTGTGTGAGCAATAGTTGCCATAAGCTCTCTCTGTCTTTGAGTTCGTATAGTTGTTATTGAACACCGATGAGTTGGTGTTTTTTAAAAATTGAACACCGAGTACAATAATTTGTTAATATGTCAAGGGATGGGATTAAGAGAAAAATGACAGGCGAAGAGATGCCAACTTTTGACTTCTCTTGCACTAACAAAGTATGCTAAAATTCTGACCAGCCATCTGCAGTGCAAAGACAGACACACATTAACATAACTCTTATATTGTTAAAAGACTCAACATATATGACTACTTAAACTCATTAAATTGTTTAAAATAATTTAAGAACCAGTCAATTTTTAAGATTAAAATGTTAATAGAAAAAAAACATGATTGTTGACGTCACCTAATCCAAACCCCCTCCCTCCCCCTTGTCAATTCGTCAAACATTTCCAAACCCCCTCCCCCCTATTTTGTTGACGTAATTAATGGACTCCCCCAGTATATGCTGAATTGAATATATATAAATGGGATAAGTGCTTTCCTTGCCTAAATGAACTGAGTTGTATTTCTTAGATTGTAAAGTTATCCCCCTTATGTTAGTTCAGTAATATAATTTATATGCAATCACAAGAACTACAATCAAAATCTCAGCAATTTCTAAGCAAATTCTGCTATTTTCTATACCTTTAAATATACATAAGTGATGCACTGCTTTACACCTTTTTGGATTCATGAAAATATTTAAAGTACTAAATTAATACATTTTAAAGAAACTAAGGGTCAATTGTCAATAGCATTGGATAGTTTTCTTTGAATTTAATTTACATTTTAAAAAAATATATATATATAAATATTTATATATATCAACCAATTCTTCTAAGGCCAAACCTGGAGAAAGCTGTGCCAGTGGATGTGTACGTATTCTTCTTCTTTACAATATTTATTTTGTATGATTCATCACATTGTACAGTAAACATTTATGTGTGTTGCCTGTCTTAATTATCTTATTGCTTTCTTTTTTTAAAATTAAACACCATGCAATTTACGTTGATGGAAAAATTATTGCTCAAACATTTATTTTGGCATTTAATTCGGTAATTAACACCACACAATAGCTGACAAGTCAACAAAAATAAAGTTCTACAGCTTAAGTTTTTCAAGAAGCTTTAATGACATAGCAACCTAAACTCAGTTTCTCTGCCTGTCCAGGATTTCAATGCATTGGGTTTTGAGCCCAAAGTGCAGCTTCCAGTTCTTCATGTCCCAGGGGAGAAGCCTCGTAAAGTTGAAGTTGAGAGGTAGGAAACATTGTTTATGAAAATATCAACCTGTGTGCTCCAGTTAGTTAGTTCTGCTTGTGTGAGATGTGCAGTTTCTTTACTAAATATTTTTTTTGTTGAAATTATTATTTTTTAGACCTAACAAAAGTCTAATTTTAATTTCTAGGCTACGGCGGCTGTATGCCAGATTGGATCTCCCCACTCTGTTGAAGGAAAGGGGAGTAATCACTAAACTTTTGATGCCCAAACAGCACACTAATCTGAACATAATCCTCATGATGAACCCCAATGATCCGGCTCCCTTCCCACCATACCTGCCCCTGGGTTACTTTGACAACACAGAGTTTGATAATCGCACTCCCAAGGAGTGGATGAGGCTGGGCTACACAACAATGCGGCAGACTCCCATCCCAAGTGTTTGTCTGCTACCAACAAAAGATGAAGATGGGGACAGTATGTGTTATGTTTATTTGAGATGGGGACAGTATGTGTTATGTTTATTTATGATGGGGACGAGATGTTTTTTGTTTGTTTATTTAAGATGTGTTGTATTTATTTAAGATGGGGAACAGGATGTAGGCCTATTGTATTTATTTAAGATGTTTGAAATAATATATTTTCTAGATTTATCCCCTTAAGTTAATATAGTGGTTAGCAAATACTTTCAGTAACTAATAGACTAGAGTACGACATTTTAAAAGATTCTGCATGCCTGATTATGGGGTTATGTAAGAGAATATTTGAAGAGGATGTATGGGAATAAATGATGTTCTTATGGATAATGGAATCAAGTATAAAATAGGCAGCAAAAGGATTGCATCGTTTGAGGGCAGCAAATATAAACTCCTTTGTCCAGGTTATTGGTACACATAAGTTCAATCAGATAATTTCTTAAAGCAGTGGTTCTCAACCTTTCTTATGCCGCCACCCTTTCATACAGTTCCTCATGTTGTGGTGACCCCTAGCCACAAAATTATTTGTGTTCCTACTTCATAACTGTAGAGCATACGTATTTTCAGATGGTCTTAGGCAACACCCAAAGGGGTCCCGATCTACAGGTTGAGAACTGCTGTCTTAAAGTCATATTATTTTATAATTTCAATATCATGCTTCAATTTTAGTATCATGCTATAAATTTAGTTTCATACTATAATTTCGGTATCATGCTATAAATCCAGTATCATGCTATAATTTTAGTATCATGCTATCATTTCAGAGGATCCAACTGATCCAAGTATTGAGTATGATTGGTATGATGCGGGTGTGTTGGACTATGATCCAGATACCAAAATGTACTTTGTGCAAAGAGTTGATGAAAATTGCCGGATCGTAGATCCCAATGGAGAAATGGTCATCAATGGATCAATTGATCGTGTGACTGGGAAAAGAAATATTTACCCGAACCAGTTCTGGATTGAACGCTGGAGAGTAATGTTCCGAGCTGAAGATCCTCGGATATTTGCTGACCGTGTTGCCTTTGCATACCAATCACGCAAACAATGTGAGGCTGAGTTGCGCTACACCCTGTATGTAGACTGCATGCCAATGGATGGACTGGGGAATCTGACAGCTAAAAATTTTGAAGAGATCGAGAGGAGAGCCCACTCAACTCCAGGAATCAGTAAGTTTAAAAGGTAGGTCGGAAACCAGTCATTTTCTTAGACTTTAACAAACCTCTTATTTATAGTGTTATAAATACTTTGCAACAGATAAGACGAATTGTTTAGTGGCAATGAATATTACATTTTTGTGATGGGTATTCCATTTGTTCAATCAGATCGCCAATAGAATTTTAAAAATTCATGTACAAAATTTCAAAGGGAAGTCCAGACCCCTAATTCTTGTAAAAATGCTGGCCAGTGCCTTATTTGGGTAGTGATAAGGCCACACTATCCCAGTTGGATATAGAATACGTGCGATCAGTGATGGAATACAGCTTGTTGCCACCATCAGCATGCAGCAAAACAGTGCTGGACTCTCTAAGAAAGTGCAATGCTAGACAGTTCACTTGATCTCAGGCGGTTTAAAATGAACACCAACAGCAGCATGTGAAGTATATACTTATATTGAGCCACTGAATCTAAGAAGAGATGGTTGAACGCTACAGAAGGCTGGACAAAAAACTCCCAAAGAGGACAAAGCCATGAGCAGGTCATAATCTTTCACAAGTGCACTGGACACATACATCTTTATTCATATGTTAAGGCTGTAAAGCAGGGGGAAGTCCCAATGTGCCTGCTCTGGCCAAGAAGCACATGTCTCAGTTGGCTGTTGGATTGGGATGATCATGATAAGTATTCCAAAAACAGTCCGGCTTGATGACCCATCTGGTTATGTATTGTCTTGTCATAAATTATCCACACATCAAAGGATCACACTCATTTTGTATACTTCCTTTAACCTTCATAAAATTATGGCCAAAAAATGTCTAAGCAAAATATACAGTTGAATTCATTTTCTTACATTAAAATTTCAGTTTTCAGAGTATTTTTCTCTGTATTGTGACAGACTTAAAGAAGCCACAGCCAAGATTGAGAATGAAATTACCCTCGACTACTGCCGGGTGATGAACCAGTTTATTCTAGAAAAAGCTGTAAGAGACGACCCATCCACATTTGCCTTTGTAACACTTCCTCTCCGCTACGAGAGACCAGCACCCATGTACTGTGAGAATTTTGTGTTTTTAAATGACCATATTTTCTACGTCTGTATTTCATTCCCATCTTGTTTAAGCTTTATGTCTTAAAATATCCCATAAGACTTCCCCTCTTGACAACCATGTTTCATCCCAAAAATAGGCCATAGGTCAATTAGCTAAACTGAAATGTAAGCAAGGAGGGCATCCTGTTCCATTTCTTTAAAAAAAACACATTTTATTAAGGCCAGAAAATAAAGTTCTTTCATAAAGATGATTCCCCTTGCAGCCAAGGCCTGGTCTTGGATCCAGAGGTTCTCAAACAAGTAGGTCATCAAGTCAGGGAGCACCTGTTGTTTATTAATTATCCTTCAGTAGAAGCAACTGATATCTTTAATTTTGATTCTTCCAGCTAAATGGCCAGATGTGCCACCGTACGCCTTCTCCCAGCAAAGTGACAGCTTCGCCTACCGCTCCATCTACACAATCACAGAGGCCATCGAGGCCATGTGTCTTGTCAAGTCCGAATGCAACCAGCTGCTGAACAACATGAGTTTCTTCAACTTCAAAGTCTCAAAGCTCTTCAAGGTGCAAGAGTTTGAGCACCTACAAGATCAGGCCACAACTATTGTGAGCTCAAGTGTTTGTTTTTTTGGTCTTTGAATTTTTCAGTGCTTCATACCAGTGACAGTGCAGACACAGCAGTTAAAAAGACGAACTAGAATTTGAAATAGTTCATGAATTTAGCTAAATAGAGGACAAAGATTACTTACATTAATACTCACTGTAGTAATGCAATGACGTCTGTCTAAAGTAGTCAGATGTCTGTAATTACAAAAGGTGTTGTGAAATGTTTTTTTTGGATCTGATAGAGGTGTTGCTGAGTGAAGGGTGGAAGAAATGCATTTTGGGTCCAAGGAAAGTGTTTGGGATGTGAAAAGGTTTAATGAGATGGCGAGTGTTGTTTGTGTTCCATTGGGGAATTCACAGAGACACAACTTACACATCATTAGTCAGAAGATGGATGCACCACTGTGGGATCCTGGGGGGCGACTTACGGCACTGCCACTAAACACCCATTCAGACATATGTCTGGTCTCACAAAAGGGATATGGCCCTGGATGTTATTTTCCCAGACTGCACTCTTATGTTGCCAAGGGGACACCCCGCGAGAGTAAATACTGCCAAAGGTGTTGCCTCTGCTAGTACATGAATATTTTATAATACAAATATTGTAGATGAGCAAGTATCATCTATGAAGGCAGATGAATCTAGGATAATTTTTTTAATCAATCTAGCAGAATGTATTGAAATCCCTCATGCATAAATGGAAATCATATTTTTGATAATCCAGAAATATTTTAAACTTTGATCAGTTTTAATTACTTTGTTAGCTATTTTTTTAAAAAGAGAATTACTAATGGGCAATCCATAAATGTCGTCACAGAAATTTTGCCAATTTTTACACACCCCCGCCCTTCCAAATCACAATCTGAAACTTGATCAGAGGCCACTTCTCGGACCTCGCATACTTGTACTGATTCTCTCCAGTTAGAAAGTGCAATTTTTGTCAATGATGTTTTGCTTTTAATTTGCTGTCACTGTGCTTAACCCCCCCCCCCTCGTAACACATCGTCACAAAAATGTGACACAACCCCTCCCCTCCACCCCATGGATGCGTTATGTCATTTGTGTATGGCCCCCAAGTCCTTTTGCGGTTGAATGAGATGATCCCATCTAAAAGAACTCCAAAAAAAAGATGGAAAAATGTTTTCAGGTGAATTTTAAAGTGTCCCTTTTCAATCACTACAGATGAGCAACTACATAAAGGAACAATGGCTGTCCTTGCTGCGGACACACATTCGCAAATCCTTCATGGGAGTCAGGAAAGGCTGGTTCAATATCTATGAGGATAACTGGGCCATTTATCAAATATCCAAGATGAAGAAATTCAATGAAACTGTCAAGTTTATAATGCAGGTATTGACTTCATCTAACCAACTAAAGTTTTAGTAAGTAAGCTGGGTTTTTTTTAGCTGTGTTCTTCAGTTTCATTTTTAAAAAAAATAACTTTAAATTTAGATGACTGCAGCTCTAGTTATATAAATTTACATGACTGCAGCTCTAGTTATATAAATTTAGATGACTGCAGCTCTAGTTATATAAATTTAGATGACTGCAGCTCTAGTTATATAAATTTAGATGACTGCAGCTCTAGTTATATAAATTTAGATGACTGCAGCTCTATTTATATAAATTTAGACGACCCATTTTTAGGAGCAACTTTTGTGACAATTTATTTATAAATGATCTTGAGAATAGTCCTAGAAAATTCTCTGGGGGAAAATTATTTAGTTTATTAGTAGTGAACAAAATTGGTAACTACTAATTGTCCAGTGGTAAAATTATAATTTTAAACCATTCATAAACACTCCACATTGAACTTGAAATAACTATAGAGGTTCCTTTGTTGCATTACTGTTCTCTTATTGACTTGCCTGTAGCTTTTCTCCTATTGACTTGCCATTGCTGTTCTCCTATTATCTTGATATTACTGTTCTGTTGACATGCCATCACTGTTTTCCTATTGACTTGCCATCAGGTTTTCTCCCACTGATCACCCAAGATGCCGTCAATGCCATTTTGATCAATTTCAGGACACCATAAGGACACTGTTGACAGACTCACTCAAGAACTTCAGCAGCATGATAATAGATGCTTGTTATGCAACCATGGATGTAAGACCACACTTCAGATGGGGGAACAATCTGCTTGTTAGTCCATTTCCGTAAGTTGCTGTTTTAAAGAAAACTGAATAGTTATCCTTTCTTTTTTTTTTTTTATAACAACTGGCATACCCTTGGGTTCGTCAGCTGTAGTTTTAACGGACAGAAGTGTATTGAAATATTCACAATGATTGCCATATTCCACCTGTGCATGTGTGCAGAGATCCTGCTGGCTTATCAAATATTTACTGCGCAATAGAAATCCCAAGATTTGAAACTAAAAGGATATGTTTTGTTTCTCATTATCTGAACCCTGGGACAAACAAAAGAAATAATAGTTGATCAGCTGATTGGACATCAAAGACTTTATGGAGATGTTAAAGAGGTTTTGATAACATGCTGTCTGTTTACATATTGGCAGCCAGTGGTAAAAATACTACTTTCAGGCATTTAGTAAAGATAAACAGTCATTGATTCTTAAGTACAACCAGGCAGTGGCGTAGCTAGGGTCAGTGTCACCCCCCCCCCCATCCCCCACTCCAACTTCAAAGATGGATTTGTTATAGTTGAAAAAAGTCCACAGTATAACAATGACAGGTTTACATATTGGCAGCCAGTGGTAAAAATACTACTTTCAGGCATTTAGTAAAGATAAACAGTCATTGATTCTTAAGTACAACCAGGCAGTGGCGTAACTAGGGTCAGTGTCACCCCCCCCCCCATCCCCCACTCCAACTTCAAAGATGGATTTGTTATAGTTGAAAAAAGTCCACAGTATAACAATGACAGGAACAAAAAACAAATTAATTAAAGGTCAGAAGATAAATGTATTTAAGAACTGTATTTAAGAATTTATAGGAGCCAGAAAGATCAATAGATTGATCGAAGGCCCTCAAAATATAGAAGAAGAAGAAGTAAAAACGTTAAGTTATAGTTATTTTTATATTAATTTTACTTTGGAATTCGATATCAACTGCCTTTAGTGTCTTCTAAGCCTAGTATTTCTTTTAAAAGTTCATCTTCTGATAACTTATCATAGAAAGAGGTTAATTTTGGAACGTACACCAATAACTCTACTTAACTTGTTGATAGTGGACCCTTGAGTTGAACAGCCCCAAACATATCTGCTAATTCCTTGATCACTGATCTGGATTTCAGAATGAAAGCGACCAATGCACTCGTGCATCTCTCTTCTCTTTACATCTCGCAGAGAGAGTCTAGCATCTATTAATTGTTCTCCTTTCGTTCTCTTCTTAAACCTTTTTGTTCTCTCTAACGAAATTTCATATTGGTCTGATTTTAAAAGTACCGGTACATTTTCAATAGCATGTTGCACAAAGTGAAAGTGATTCTCGTGCAGAAAAAATCTTAAGGCCTCTAGGTTGGTCATCATTTTGTCAAGAGTAAAGCTTTTAGTCTGCAGATACTTCTGTGTAAGATTAACATCTTCAAGTAGATCATCCCAAAGGTAAAGGTAGAAGATAAACTTGAAATCACAGACAGCATGTAAAAGACATTGTGCTGTATTACAATTGTGCTCCAATGTTAAGATGTGGTGCTAGTGACGAATCGGCGAAAATATTTATTTTAGAGTATTTCTAGGTTTCGATAGATTTGGTTTCAAAAGCATATTTTTAAAAGTTTTAAAAAATTTTAATTTATTATTAAAAAGTATTAGAAAATTTTGTAAAATATTATTTTGTTTACCCTAAAAATAGGTAAAAACTCATTTTTAATGTTATTAATTTTTACCGATTCGATTCATTAACTTAGAATCGTCCAACCAAATCATATTTCGTTTCAATGGAAAGCTTTATTTCTCAAAATTTAGATAAATATTGCTTCTTGTCATTTATGAAAGTTACTGAACACTTGAATCGGCGTTGAATTATGGTCAAAAAGGTGTTTCTGACGCATCATTGGGATTAGTTACACATGTGGAACGTGTGGAAAATTTACGTGTGATGGGTTATCCTTTTATGAAATTCCGTTAGACTGAGCGGTTTGTGCTCTGCAAATATGCCATTTTTCCATTTGGTGTCACTCCCTGGGATGGTGTCACCCATTGTGGTCCGCACCCCCACACCCCTAGCTACGTCACTAATTAAAACTTTAAATGGGTAAAAAGTCATTTTTAAACGCCGTTTTTTTCTGACCTAAATATAGGGTCATCTCATTTCTGACGCA